TCACTTAGATTTGACACTTCGAAAATAAATTAAGATGTTCGAAAATCCCTCTGTTGTTGATCGGCCGATTTTCGAGAAAGCGTCTGTCAAAATTTATTCCTTGTCTGTCAGAAATAAGTCTGCTGGAATAGCAGGTTTATTTGAAAATTTTCCATCTGTCAAATTTAAGTAAAAATTCACCAAATGGAACACAGCCTAAATGTGCGGGGGTTGACAGCTGTAGTATACTCCTAGTCTCACCATCGAATGGTATTTGCTAGATAAGATGAGGTTAAACAAATAAGCTCTGCAAACAACGCTCTTTGAAAACAATTTTATGAATATGTAACTGGAATAAATGCAAGGATTAAAAAGGAGGACATTTTCGGGCAAAAGGAGGATGTAGAAAAAATATTGAAAAAGGAGGACATGTCCTCCTTTAGGATACCATATGGTAACCCTATTCCTAGGTAGGTAATGACCCATATAACATTTTTGTCAATTAGAGAAACGAGGTGTTTTGTTTTAATGAACAAAAAATTGTCGTTGTCAATACGGGAACTTGCAAAAAAAAAACCTAAATCCACTGTTGACGGTGTGCTCAAATCATTTTCGGAACGAGGAAACCGAGAAGTGATAAAAAACATTGGACGTGCTGATCCTGTTATGGTCCAAAAGGTGAAGAGGATATTGAAGGAAAACCCGAATTTCTCTCTCTGTTCGAACGATGCCTCGTAAAATAGGAATGTCACCTTGTTTTTCCCAAAAATCAAAATAGCGTTCGGGGATGAAGTCGTGTAAAGTAAAAACAGTTCCAAATCGCAACGACAAACAGAATTTGACAGCAAAATACGTTGTTATGGTTATGATTTCAAGCAGCTTCCTGGGCTGGCTTTCTATTCTGCTATGGCCAAAAATGCTACACCTGAGAGAGAAAGAAACAAGAAATCGAAGATATCAAACACTTCCAACAAATTTGGACAAAGACGGTGTCTGTACAAACCCTAATGGATGAAGTAAGCGCAAAGTTTAAAAAATTTATGCAAATACCGAATAACTACGTTTTGACTCTGGGAAATTTTAAATCATATCCCATGAATCTGAAATAAACAACTACAATTGAAATATAATGCGAAATTTGTGTTTTACTTAGGTTTTGATGTGTCCGGATTATTGTGGATACAGACCTTAGTGTCTGGTAGCATTAGAATGTCAATTTGTCGACCCAATCAAAAAGACTCCAGAATTTAAGAACCCCACAATACTATATAGGCTATCCCTAATAAAAAATATATCATAAAAAACGATAGCCCAAATGATTGAACTATTCCACAAATGTTTTGGATGATACCCAGAACATGTCGTTAAGCAAATTAACCATACAATTTTTATTATGGGTAGGCTCTTTTGATGCACCATCAATGTAGAGTGCGCTAGGCGATTATAAGAGGAAATGTCATCCAAACCGTTTGTTCACATCAAAATGACGATATTGAATTTTTTTAGCAGCAAATTTCCATCAGGAGTGATCTTATTTTACGATTTGCTACAGATCTGGACGGATTTACAGCTCAAATAATCATACATTAAAAATCATAACCACTGGGACAATTTAATAAATCTTCTGTCGGATCACTGCCAAATCAAAAATCGATAACAAAATAGTCCACGTGGATGACGATTTCTAGTACCTGCGATGGATATCATAATCAGAAAATGTGAACATATTTTCAGCCGGCGCCGGTGGTGTAGTGGTAAGCGTGACTGCTTTCTAACACCCCAATGGGTCTGGGTTCGATCCCAGCCGAAGTCGGTGGGATTTTTCTGAGGCATAAAAATCTCTGGTCACGTCTTCCTTCGGAAGGGAAGTAAAGCCGTTGGTCCTCGGTTCATGAGTTGATGGGTCGATAGGTAGGGTCGAGGTGTGGGAGCTGCCTCCCTGGCGTCGGTTGCATTTTGGTGCTCAGCACGGAAAACAAGATCGAAGGAAAACAAATCAAGGACAAAAAAAATCCGTACTGAACATAAAAAAAAAAAACTGTTTTCAATCATGTACCAAAAAGAATACGAAGGGGAACTTATATTTCATAGATAAATAAAGCCGTCTTTCTGACAATCGTGAATTTACTGGCTTCAAAATTCAGCGATTTACTGACAGATATAGGAGGAAAAGGATTTGGAACAAAATCTCCTATTCGTCTGCTTCCGTCAATTGACTCAATTGACATCACTCCAAAGAAATTCATATAGGTATCTGAAAATATAAGACCAATCTTCTATTACAGCAACCTTATCAGCAGTGGAGGAGAACCGGGATGTGGTCAGCCTTCATTTCCTACAGTGAATAACAAATTCCGCCATCAGTACCAGATATAAAGTCCTTCACTTGAAATTCCATCAATTCTCATCAGCAACATCAACCCTACGATTCCATCTACCCTGAAGGCGGACAGAATCTCACCCTCATATCGACTATCCTTCCATTCTATTGATTATCAACGAAAACGATTTCGATTAGCAAAACAGACATGTTCATTTATAATTGGAACGTTTTAGAACGTTTCTATAAACGGTTGGGTTAAAGTTTTTGGGCGTTATCATGTGCACTCTTAAGGAGTCAATCATGATTAAATGCAGATATTGAATCATTCAAACCATGCTATCAAAACCTCTATCAAAGATATTGCTTCATTCAATTCTCAACCCTTCACTTCCCAGAAGGTTTTTGGTTGTTTTGAGATGCAAAAATGTATTTTTGAAAAAAGTACTAGAACAAAAGATGTTCCATATAGACTAAAATTTTGAATCCATCAAAAAAGTCCATCCATCAAAAATAACGATCATATGGAGAATCTTAAACAAAAAGGTGATCTTCTTCTTCTTCTTTCCTTTATTTAACGTCGGTCTCTGTTCCGCAATCTAGTGCCAATCACCGACGGACATCGATTGCCATCCATTGACGACAATCGAATGTGCAGGAAGGCAGCTTCCACACCTGCGTAGGATATCGCACCCATTCACAACACACATGGGCCGGAACCAACGGCTTTACTTCCCTTCCGAAGGAAGACGTCACCAGAGATTTTTATGCCTCAGAAAAATCCCACCGACCTCGGCTGGGATTGAACCCAGACCCATTGGGGTGTTAGAAAGCAGTCACGCTTACCACTACACCACCGGCGCCGGCCAAAAAGGTGATCCAAGAGACGTTTTTCAGTGGAATAGACAGTTAGAAATCAAGAGTGTGTGAGCGATCTGGTGTTAATGGTGCTGAATGTAAACATAAAGAAAGCAGAAATTCATATGAGAATAAACTGCTAGTTCTACTGTGATCTGTCAAAATTTTTTGGTAAACAAAAAAGTCAGCTGATCGCAACAGTCTCGCGGACAGCCTTATTGCTGTCTTGGGGATTTTAAGTTCTTTCAGGCTGTGAACCATTTGCCGAGTTAAATTTAACTCGTGGTTAAAAGTGACATTTCGAAAGTTATTTTCTATGTTCGAAAATCCCCGTGCTGTCGATCGACCGGTTTTCGAGCCACGGTTGTCAAAATTTAACTTCTTGTCTGTCAGAAATAACCATGCTCGGATAGCAGGGTTAATCGATAACTTTTCATCTGTCAAATTTTAACCAAAAGTTAAAATAATCCACCAAATGGTTCAGAGCCTCAGTCGTCTTCTTCTTTCTGTTCGCAGTGACATCTGTTACTGCAGTTGATAAGGGCTAGTAGCTTTGTTTTTCCAGTCTTCTAAAGCAGCAAAAATGACGTTTCGGTGATATATTTCATTATCTTCAGGGATTTCTATAATTATAAGGTGGTTACAAAATATAAATGTGTACTGCGCTGGTTGTGTCACTTACAGAAGCTACGTTTTTTTGTTGAGTGGATGTGTGTCTTAACTACGGCTATTAATATAAGTAGAGAGTAGAGCTTCCGTCTAATCGTCTTTGTGTTTTCGGTGCACTTATTTCTCATCATGCAAGCAATAAGTGCTCCGAAGCACTTTTATAACACTTTTTGCATTTTTTGGGGCAGTCCAGTTTCAGATGCAATCAGCAATACATCGGATTTTGTCTTACTGTATAGTACTTACTATGCGCGTTCCCAACAATGTGTGTTAAGTTGGGCCTCCGTTAGCTCAGTCGGTAAAGGCGCAGCTACAAAGCAAGACCATGCTGGAGAGGTGGCTGGGTTCGATTTCCGGTCTCGGACTAGGCATTTTTCGGGTTGGCAATTTCTCGACTTCGAGTAGTACTTGCCACACAATTATACTAATGCAAAAATGGTACCAGGCATCGAAAGCTCTGAGTACAAACACTAAGTTGAGAGCACGCAATAACCTCATAAGCGATAAGCAATAAACTTGAAATGCGAAGAAGAAGGAGCTCTTTAATAAATACAGATTGATTTATTTTAGGTAGATTGACAAACATGAGACGGACCGAAAAGTTGTGCATGGGAAGGAGAGAGTTAAATTAAAATAAACTCCTTTGTATGTATTGCATAAAAACAGTTGTAAGAAGAGCCAAATATATGTATAGACTTGATATTGCATAGGCTATTATGGATTATTCGCTAAATAAAATTGAATTGAACAGAATAAGTCTGTGATTTACCACGTATGATAAGAAATATAAAATCTGAAACTACATCTCAAAATAATTTATTCAGTAAAAATTCCGTTTGTAAAAATATATTAATAAGTTTTGTTCAGTAAAGTTTGACAATAACGGGTGTAAAATAAATGGGAGAAATGACGGCTTCGGTACTTTTGTATCGTCAGGGAGTAAATGAGTGATCTTTTTTTTTGCAAAAGGATGCTCTCAAATATGATGCACTCGTGAAGATAATAGGTAAAGAAGTGCCGAATCCGTCATTTCCGCTAGTACGATTGTTCAACTCCTTTCAACTCCAAAACATAAAAGTATATGAATTCAAGCACATATATTAATGATTAATATTGATAAAATCTATTACATTAAAATGGAAGATAAATGCATACTGCAGTAGTAATATCCTGAACGAAAAAATGTCTTGCAAAAAATGCTTGGTGGTAAACAATTGGAATTGATCTATTTCAACATGGAACTAGGTAATAATTATTCCCCTAGCGAGTAACACTCCGAGTAAGAAACACCATGAGGTAGACTTAGATTCCTGGCTTAGAGACTGACTGGCACATGACGTTCATACCGAATTCTATTTCACTGCTTAAAGTGATTATCAAGGAACGCATACACGTAGTCGTACACTACCAACATGATAGCTCCTCCAGGTCCCAAGCGCATCACCTTCGGTGTCAAGCCCTTGTACAGAGCGGCAAAGCCTTCCTCGCGGTAGACAATCGCAATCGAACCAAACGTAGACTTGTACTTCACCTGCCCCTGGACTGGTTGAGGACCCTAAGGAAATGAAGTAGTTCGTTTTGTGATGTGTACTGATTTGATCGAGATTGCTGCAAGAACGCTCACCTGAATCCTAGATTTAGCCACATCAAACGGAATGTTCACAATCGATCCCAGGGTACCGGAAACGAAACCGATTCCTATCTTACGCAGGAGCTCTTTCACTGAATCCTAAAACGAGGCATCGCGAGTGTTACTCAATCTTTCAGCAGCATTTGTCGCTAATTCGCAAGCGGTTAGTTACGAAGGAAAGTTACGCATGATGGGAACGATGATGACAGTCATGCAATATTCACTGAACCGGTAAGCAGATATTGGTCAAATGCGGGGTCGAAACAGATAGAAAGAGGCGCATGCATGCAACGGTATAGATCGCGGATAATTTAGATGCAAAAGCCAATAAAAAACATTATTACCTATGGCAATGAGGTTTGCAAAATAATCTAACAGTTCACCGGGGCAAATCAAGAACGTATTGCATGCTAGACGAAAATGCACGATCCACGGTCCACGCAAGAAAACGTAGGGATCTCAAACTTACCCACTTCCATCCAAAAGCACTAACGCTTCTATTAGAGCAAGCAGAAATGACGTGAACAATTACAATAGAAATGAAGTGCACTTCAATCAGTAAATAAAATAAAGCGATAATAGCGGAGCTTGATAGACTTACGTCATACTCCGGCAGGAATCCTTTCACACTGTGATAGAATCCGAAGTAAATCATGTTGAAAACACCGTTCCGTCCGATTGTAGCCGTTAGACCACGGTTCAGTCCGTTCAGTCCGAAGCCGGAATCGTGGATGATTTGCCGCGTTACGGCCCAGGTACTCGGAACCTCACCGACTCTGTAGGAAGAATTAATATATCATCCTATGTATGTATGTAGTTGGATTTTCATTCGATACTTTTATCCGAAATCCTTAGGGGGGTCCCTTCTGGATCCTCATTAACCCTATAACTAGGGAGGGGGCTCTTCTGGCTCCCCATCGCCAAACTCTGTCACTAGGGGGGGGGGGAGGGGTTAAAGATAAGCTAACTCTAACCTATCCGAAATCCAAAATTTTGTGTTAATTATTATGAGGATAAAAAAATCTGGTATTTACGTGTCAATTCCTTTAATTTAAAGGCCTTTCAATGAAAATTATAAAAAGTATAATGCATAAACGGGACAGCTCTGCTGTTTAGTCCTCTTGCGGGTGGCCATTCAAATAACTTTTTAAATGTTTAAACATAAATCGACGAAATATACATAAGTTCAACTTCAAACATGAAATGCTCCAAATATTTCAGTAAACTTAATAAATGTTGTACTACACTCACTTGTTTTTGTTTGCTTGCAGTGTGACTTTGACCATTTCGAACGGGTTCACCAGGATAGCTTCGGTCACTCCTGCTCCGAGCCCAGCCAGCGAAAAAGTCTACAAGATTTAACATATTTAGTTATATGAATCGCTATATAATAAAACCGACAAAACTACACACCAATGGCGTTGGCTTATCAGCTCCAAACAAGAAAAACCGTTTGTATTGCTCGAAAGTTAAGAACTTAACTGCACGTTTTGGAGTTTCTACCAGCACCGGTGGAAGAATTCCTTTATAAAGCGAAAAGAGACCCTCAGCCCGTGCCATTTTCCGCATACAGTCGAAAACTCCATTGTAGTAGGTCTTAAAAATGAGAATCAAAAATACATTTATCTATGCATCTCTAATGGGTTAATTTTAATCATAGCTAACACTTACAGCACACTTTGCTCCGCCAGCCCCAGGTGTGGCCTGTAGTTGGAGACGGGTCTTAACCAGATCCAGCGGATGCATGATGCAAACTTCCACAAATCCCGCTGAACCACCTGCACCAACTTGCATTGCCGCCTGCCGTAGGAATTCCTTCAGATCACCGCCCATTGCTGCTGACTTTCTTGACTGGCTCACGTGCTACTACCGATCACAAATTAGCAATAATTGCTGCAGCAAGATATGAAAGACAAAACTATATTCAATGGAATCATACGATTGCTTCATCAATTGGATGGCCTCGAGAATGATTCGGATTAAACGATGACAAAGAAGGTCAGACATGCGCGATGAATATTTTGATTGCCATAAATGCGAGTTATACATGTAGATGACATTGAGGTGAAATTAATCTTATTCACAATCTTTGACGAGTCAATATTTGGCAATGTTATCAGCTGTCCTTATGGTTGGCATACACAAATAATGCATAGTCATGTTTTAATCATTTTAAGGTCCCCACTGAACAGTAACTCTCAAAACTGTTTTGATAACTACTTTAAATTAGGTCAATGATTAAGAATTGAATTGTGTCTCCAAATTATTACCTTTATAAGCTAATACTCCTCTATATTGTCCAAACCCCACCGACTCCACTGATTGCTGATCCACATGCAGTGAACGTCTGTTTACTTTTTGCGGTTGACTGCCTTCTAAGCTACTGAACTACCACTAACACTCGCGTAACGGTACGCGATAGTGTTGGTGTAATTAATGCTTTTATGCAATTTTTCATTCATGAGGATGTATTTTACACACTATTTACAGTTAAACTACCAATGTTTACATCGGTCTGTCAGAAACAGCTGGTTGGGAAACGCAAAGTCACAGGTGCTTGATGACACGCTAAAATAAATCAAACATAAACTCTACACTAATCGAGCCGAACAATGGAATAGGTCCTAAGTATTGCGCACTTTTCCCTTTAATGGACAGCACAGTTTGAAAGTGCAAAAGTGTGACGATAACTCGGACGATAAGAGCTATCTGTAAATTTTTGGCACTCGTACCTGTCATCACGTCATATGTCATTTGTTTTACCGAGTTATAACGAAGAAAAGTAATTTCAACAAAATGAGCGTAAAAACCCTGATAAAATTGTTATGGTTATTTTGCTTAATGACGTGTTCCGGGCATAGAGGTAACTCTAAGACTAGTAGGTCCCGAAGAAACGTGCTCAACTTTTTGGTTCAGCTCTGGTACTCTCTTCGGTCCCAAGCTAATCGATTCACCCCTCGAAACATAGGAAAAACCAATAACCCCTCATTTTATCTGTCAAACTTTCATAGCGAATCAAAACAAACATTCCGTAGTACTAGAATTTCGACTAGAATGGAGTACGTTAATCGTTTGCTTGGGACCAATAGGCTAGTCAAGTAGTGAGCCAATTTAAAATCGTTAGTTTCGTATTGATTGTTGTTCCGGGTATTATCCAAACCATTTGTGAGATAGTTCTATGATTCGGGTTATCATTCTTTTAAGGTATTTTTTTTTCATTAGGGTAGGCGTTATTTCTTATTTAATAAAACAGTACAGGTACAAAAACCACAAACTTGGAGTTAATGATTCACAAATGATCAATAATATGCATATCCGAAACGTTGTCCGCAAGTGAACATCTAATTTCATTCTCCTCTGGTCTGATAGACTCCTGCATTGCTGTTACCAAAATTGAATTGGTTGACGATCGAGAGCGTTGGGCTCGGCGTAGTGCACTAATGCCGATGCTTTGCCCTTTGTCCCAGTGCAATTAATTGGTCGAATTCTTCTTTCAACACTGAGAGCTCTGAAGAAAATGCGTCATTGATGGTACTGGCAACAGATAGCCCACTGTGGTTACTCTCCAGCAGCACAGCTTCCGGAATAGGAACATATCTGAAGAACTTAATAATGGAAAGTGGAGGTAACTCCGACATTCTTTGTTCCCGTTCGTGTGCTGGAGCCGTTGTTATTTGCCCATAGCTTCCCCGAGCTAGCGTGACCGGTAAATTGTTTTCCATGCTATTCTCGTAGCTCATTCACCATCACAAAGAGGGACTGGTTGCTGGAAGCACCTGCTCGATCAGTATCCTGATCAGTATTTGTAAACGAAATATACGTTTCATAATGAATTTAATACACTTAAATACAAAAATAAACAAAACTTATAATTATATAAATACAGAAAAATATAAAATACGCGTATTCAATTCGGGTAGATGAATCGAAAATACCAAGACCAACAATTAAAAAGGCCTCAACTCCCTTTTGTAAATAAACCTTGTAAGGCCATTTTCTCGCGAACCGAAGTCCGCCAACGCAAAGCAGCATAAGGAACAGGTAGGGGAAATTCTCCTCTACCCGATTGTGTTTGCTAATGTAGGTTTTGGTTCGTGAGAAAATTGCCTTAGAAGGTTTGTTTACAAAATGGAGTTGAGGCCTTTTCAATTGTTGGTCTTGATACTCAAGTTGACAGCCCCTCGGTATCACCATAGAGGTAACTCTAATACCAGAAGGTCCCGAAGAAAAGTGCTCAACTTTTTGGGCAGCTCTGGTACTCTCTTCGGTCCCAAGCTAATCGATGCACCCCTCGAAACATAGGAAAATCCACGAACCCCTGTCAAAATTTCATAGCGAATCAAAAACAAACATAGTAGTACCAACAATCAATACGAAACTAACGATTTTAAATTGGCTCACCACTTTAGTAGCCTATTGGTCCCAAGCAAACGATTAACGTACCCTATTCTAGTTGAAATTCTATTACTACACTATGTTTGTTTTGATTCGCTATGAAAGTTTGACAGATAACATCAGGGGTGTGTGGATTCATGCAGAACATGCAGGGGTGAGTGAAATAGCTTGGGACTGCTTGGGACCGTTGTTCTGGTACTGAGTGAGCCAAAAATAATAATGATTTTCTTCGGGACCCAGTGGTCTTAGAGTTACCTCTATGGTAGTACTGGAATTTCGACTAGAATTGGGTACGTTAATCGATGTACTTGGGACCAATAGGCTAGACAAGTAGTGAACCAATTTAAAATCGTTAGTTTAACCTCGAGTTTAACATAGAAATACTAGAAGGAGAGATGGGCGGAGAGAATGTTTTGAACCAAATGAACTGTCAAAATCTGAGCCAAACGAACATTCCCATTAGAATTTTTCCGAGGATTTCTTATTCTTACTAGATTAAATTTGAGAGTATTGCAATCGAACAGAAATTTAATCATCCATATGTTTCGTGTGCTTCTCAAATTCAACTAGTTTTTTGGAATTAAAAGCCATATTCCAATTCTATTGATTAATTGATCTTAGTTGGTTAATTAATGGCACCAAAAAATGTGCAAAATATTGCAATGCAATCAATTATTAATTTGCATTTGAAGTGAAAAACGAGCGCTGCCCAAGAGAACCGAATTCCTTAATTACAACAAGTGGGACATAGGGTGGGACGGATTGTTTGACAGCATTCGGTAATCCTGGAGTAAACTGATGTTCGGTTATTTCTGCTTAAATTTATTTTTCGTCAACCGAGATTTTCGGTAACTTTGAAAGATTGTGGGTAACAAAAAGAACTAACGACAGCTCGCGGTTATTCTTCTTTGAACCGAACAGACTACCGAGCGTTCAGCAGATAAAAACTCGGTTGAAATCAAACCGAATTCGGTAATATTTTCTAAGTGTGTATGTGTCGGACACATATACTTAACATGTGTACACATAAAAGCCATCTTAAGCCACACATGATATAAGCATAGAGGTAACTCTAAGACTACTGGGTCCCGAAGAAAATCATTATTATTTTTGGCTCACTCAGTACCAGAACAACGGTCCCAAGCAGTCCCAAGCTATTTCACTCACCCCTGCATGTTCTGCATGAATCCACACACCCCTGATGTTATCTGTCAAACTTTCATAGCGAATCAAAACAAACATAGTGTAGTAATAGAATTTCAACTAGAATAGGGTACGTTAATCGTTTGCTTGGGACCAATAGGCTACTAAAGTGGTGAGCCAATTTAAAATCGTTAGTTTCGTATTGATTGTTGATATAAGTCAGTTAATAAGCAGACGCCTTGCAGAAAGTTAATGAAGATCATGTGTCAAATGAAATGAATAATCGGTCACACATAACTTTTATGCATTCTAATAGGACCTATGTGGCTTGTCTTATGGAATGTATAAGCATAGAGGTAACTCTAAGACCAGAAGGTCCCGAAGAAATGTGCTCAAGTTTTTGGCTCAGCTCTGGTACTATCTTCGGTCCCAAGCTCGGTCCCAAGCTAATCGATTCACCCCTCGAAACATAGGAAAATCCACGAACCCCTCATTTTATCTGTCAAACTTTCATTGCGAATCAAAACAAACATTGTGTTGTACTGGAATTTATACTAGAATGGGGTACGTTAGTCGATTTGCTTGGGACCAATAGGCTAGTCAAGTAGTGAGCCAATTTAAAATCGTTACTTTCGTATTGATTGTTGGTATTAGGGTACCCAAAAGTAAGTTAGCTGTACCCAGAACCCAACTAACATTTTCAGCTTTATAAGCCAACTTTTCCAGCGTTGTGCTGTAAAGTAGCTGAAACAAAGCTACAGATACAGCTACAAGTAGAAGCCAGCGAAATAGTTTTGGAGAGCGTTTATTCAACTTTTTCACAACCATTATTCAATTTGTCAGTCGCACTAAATAACATCACCCAATAAACGCTAATTTCACTTCTATGCAAATATTAATCAACTTTCAACTTGTAGCTGCAAATCAAAGCTAATCAAGTGAATATATTACTCATTTTATGGCTTCTATACAAACAACCACTCTTGAATAACATAAACATCAAAAGTGTTTTTTCAACAACTATACAACCTGTACTCAACTGATAAACTGTGTTAGCGCTACTTTGGAAGCTATTTTCCTGTCAACTAGGTTTATTTTTAGACTCGTGCCGTTTTACTAATAAATCTAAAAAGCTAATAAATCATCACACTAAAGCTTCATGTTAGCATTTCCAACCAACTCTGAAAATCGTTAACTTCGCGTATGAAGTAACATAAAAACACTTTGAATGTAACAACTCAAGGCGGGAGTAGCCGTCAACAATGCTGATGATGGTACAGCACGCAACAACCACCCTACACACAAAAATTATTCGTTTATAAAATTAAAAAAACCATTAGTAGAATTGAAA